GGATGGTGTTCAACCTTTTCAAGGGGTAGCATATGATCAAGAGTCAATGATACTGAAGGAAGAAGTCCAAGGTGTACTGAAGGCACTGACAAAGAACAAGGCTCCAGGAACTGATGGAATACAAATTGAAATCTTTCAACAAACTGATGCAGCATTGGAGGCACTCACTCATTTATGCCAAGAAATTTGGAAAACAACTACCCAACCAACTGATAGGATTAGATCCATTTCTGTGCCCATTCCAAAGAGAAGTGACCCAATGGAATGCAGAATTCATCGTACGATATCACCAAATCATCAGACAGTATTATTAATCTCATATACAAGTAATATTGTCTAACGAGAATTCAAACATGGCTGCAACAGTACTTTGACAGGGAGCTCTCAGAGGTCCAAGCCAGATTCAGACGAGGATGTGAACGAGGGATATCATTACTGATGTCAGATAGATTTTTGCTATAAACAGAGAATACCAGAAAGATGCTTACCTGTGCTTTAGCAACTATGCTAAGGTTTTCAACAATGTGGATCATGACAAAGTATGGACAGCATTGCAGAGAACGAGTATTCCTCAGTACTTAATTGTACTCATGAGGAACCTGCACACAGAACAAAAGGCAGCCGTTCAACAGAACAAGGGGACCCTGAATGGGTTAAAATCAGGAGAGGTGTGTGGCAGGGTTGTATTCTTGACCATACTTATTGAACCTGTATTTTGAGCAAGTAATCCAAGAAGCCAGATTATATGAAGAAGAACGTGGCATCAAGACTGGAGGAAGACTCGTTAATAACCTGCGATATGCAGATGATGCAACCTTGCTTGTTGAAAGAGAAGAGGACTTAAAATACTTACTTACTGATGAAGATCAAGACCACAACCTTAGGTATGGATTGCATCTCAATGTAAAGAAAACAAAAATCTTCACCACTGGGCCAATAAACAACATCATGATAAATGAAGAAAATATTGAAGTTGTCAAAGATTTCATTTTGCTTGGACCCACTATCAACATTCATGGAAGCAGTAGTCAAGAAATCAAATGATGTATTGCATTAGGCAAATCTGCCATACAAGACCTCTTTGAAGTGTTCAAATGCAAAGATGTTAGTTTGAGGAATAATGTATGCCTTATCTAAGCATGGTATTTTCAATAACTTCATATGCATATGAAAGTTGGACAGTGAATAAGTCCGTAGAAGAGCAGATGCATTTGAGTTACGCTGTTGGAGGAGAATATTCAAAGTACCAAGGACTGCCAGAAGACCAAACAAATCTGTGTTGGAAGAAGTACAGCCAGAATGCTCCTTAGAAGTCCATACTCCTTAGAAGTCCATATAGCGAGACTCTGTCTCTCATACTTTGGACATATTATAAAGAGGAACTAGTACCCGGAGACAGATATTATACTAGGTAAAGTGGAGGGTCCGTGAAAAAGAGGCAGACCCCCAACAAGGTGGATTCATACAGTGGCAGGAGCAACGGTCTGAAGCTTAGCAATGATCGTGAGAATGGTGCCGTCTCGGGCATTTCATTCTGTTGTGTATCAGGTTACTCTGAGTCAAGCTGAGTCAACAGCACCTAACAACATTCCATGGAAAAGACTGACGCTGTCAAAAAACCTTCATTTTTCTTGTTTCCACTATCAACGCTCATGAAAGCAATAGTCAAGTAATTAATAAATAACATATTGCATTAGCCAAATCTATTGCACAATGCGTCAAGAAAAAATGATGTCAGTTTGAGGACTAAAGTGCACCTGACCCAAGCCATGATATTTTCGACAGCTGTATATGCTTTTGAATATTGGACAATGAATAAGGAAGACCATAGAAGAACTAATGGATCTGAGTTATGGTTTTAGAGAAATATTCAAAGTACCATGAACTGCCAAAAGAAAAAACACATCTGTGTTGGAAGAAGTTCAGTCGGAATGCTCCTTAGAAGCCAGGATGATGAGACTTGGTCTCTCACATGTTATCATGCATGTTATCACAGGGACCCGTCCCTGGACAAGTACATCATACTTGGTAAAGTGGAAAGTCAATGAAAAAGAGGAAGGTCTCTAACCAGATGGACTGGCACAGTGGCAGGAGCAATGGGCTAGAACTTAACAACAGCTGAGGATGGCACAGGGCCGGGCAGTGTTTCCTCCTTTCTGGGATAAGTCGCTATGCATTAGAACTGACTTGAAGGTAACCAGCAACAATTGGCTATCAACCAACTCTATGGCGGTGGGCTTGATTTGGGGTTACTAACATCACAGAAGTGTCTCTAATGCTATGTTGTTGCTGTGAAGTGCCATCGAGTTGGTTCCGACCCATAGTGACCCTGTATAGGGTTTCTGAGGAGCAGCTGGTAAGCTTAAACCGCTGACCTTGCAGTTCAAACGACTTTGCAGTCTGGTGCATTAACCCACAAGACCATATAAAGCCTGTCAAATACGAAGAGCAAGTGTTAGTCGCTGGTGGCAATGAACAACTATTTTTGTAAAAGATGAACCAACATAAGGTACTGTTGTCGTTGGGGGCCCTCGCATCGAATCCGGCTCACAGCGACCCCACAGAGTACAACTGCCCCCGAGGGTCTCCTAGGCTGTCCTCTTTATGGGAGCAGATAAGAAGGTTTTGAAGAGTTGATGGATGTCCCTCAATCTGGGTCATTTACAAACCACTTCCCTATGAATTACATGGAGAAAACAATGAAGTTGTCAAGGAATCCATTCTTGTCCAATCAACAAGCAGTCCACGGGAACTTGCTATTGTGGCTGTCATCAGTGGGATCCTGATGTTGAGTGACCCTACGTGACAGGGTGGAGCTGCCCTTACAGGGTCTTTACAGGAGCAGATTGAGAGCTAGGTCTTTCTCCTGCCGAGTTACTGGGTGGGTTCGAACCACTGACCTTTCCGGTTAGCATGTGAGCACTTACCCACTGCACCACCAGATGAATGGGTCGCACAGTGCTGTGCTTCACAAACACCCTCTCTGAAACCTGCAGGGGTTGCAAGGGGAGCATTGCTCAGGGACAGGGGCAGGAAGCCACATCCTGGATACTAAGGTGCCATCGTTCAGGGAAGGGTTGTCAGACGTGCCAGATGTCACGTTCAGTTAGAGACTGAAGGTTCTCTTGACAACCACTCTTACCCCTTTACTTAAAATGGACATTAACTCCGTAGAGAAAGGTGAGCAGGCATTGATTTATTTAAACCACGTTTCACTTGCTTTGCTGAGTTTGCTACAAACACCTACGCTTCACGGCAAAAACCCAGAAAGCCAGTTAGGATGCCATAAATCTCACCTTCAGGTTCTCGTCTTCAAGCAGGTCAAGGAAGGTGTTGATGTTAGCCAGTCCGCTGCCCCCTGGATCAAGCATTTGCATGAGTTCTTCGAATTCGGAATCACTTAATTTTATGGCTCTGCTATTTAGAATATTTTGCAGTTCTTTCCTTGTAATATTTCCATCATATTTCTGAGATGAGACATCAAAAGAGGAAAAGGAGGGAAGGCATTGTACTCATTTCGCACCATTTAACACAAAGCAAGCACTAACCAGATAGAATATGACTTATAGAGAGAACACCTAGATTCATGACTGTCACATGACACATGGAGTCCCTGCATGGTACAAGCATTGAACACACACAGCTGCTGACTGAAACACTGGCAGGTGGTTCGCATCCACCCAGAGATGCCTTGTGCCTTGCAAGAAAGGCCTGGTGATCTGCTTCTGAAAAGCCTGCCACTGAAGAGCCCATGGAGCACAGTTCTACTCTGACACACATGGGATCACCATGAGCGAGAATCGACTCGATGGCAACTGGTGTTAAACACATGTGCCAAGAGCAGGGGCGAGTGAGGAACATCAGAAGTGTGCAGGTGTGGCTCCTCCAAAGTTCTCCAGGAGGCCCTGGCAGGACACGGCCCTGGGGTGAAGAATGAGGCCATATTGTGAGCACAGGCTGGTCCCCTTCTGGGCCCAGGCCTCGGTGATGTGCTTTGGCCGGAGAAGTGGCTGTCTAGAGGGGTTTTCTCAGTCCCTCCCCTCCTTCCCTGGCCCCATCTAAGGTTGGGTCAGTGACAGAGAGCACAGACTTCCTGGCAGTTCAGTGACAATTGGCCCACTTACTAAAAATATTTGCTCTGCTTGTTTTTACGGCCATCATGTCACCAAGTCCACAATGGATACTTCCTTAGCAAGAACACTTGCAGCCATGCTACAGAAAGAGAACATGAGGAAAATACTGGGAGACAAAGTTCTTCCCCCAGAATGAGATATCATCAATAAGTAAAATTAAATATTAGAGCTGAGAGATGGTGCTTACTGAGAAAATAGGAAAAACAACCACCCTCTCATCAAGACTGGGAAGCTCGATAAACAATCAAACCCACTGCTAACTGGCTGCCGTCAATTCTATTCCAAGTCTTGGTGAAGTGAACAGGCAGAAGAGAGCTGGCCCACAGGGTTTCTGATGCTGTAATCTTGACAGAGGGGTCCTGGGATGGCGCTGTGGGTTAATGCACGAGAGGAGACTGCAAAGCCGTTTGAACTGCAAGGCCGGCGGTTCAAGCTCACCAGCTCCTTGGAAACCCCACACAGGGTCGCTATGGGTGGGAACTGACTCGATGGCACTTCACAACAACAATCTTGACAGGGGCAGACTGTCGCCATCTTTCTCCAGTGGAGGGGCTCAGTGGTTGGAAGCACTGACCTTTTCATTAGCAGCCAAGTGCAACAGCAGGGCTCCATGTGTAAGTGATAAAGCAGGGAACACGTTACGGCTATAATGTTGAGGTTCACATCTATAAGGAATCTGAAGTTCTCCTGGAGCTAAGGACATACTCTGGGGAGGCACAAGCAGGCTTCCTGTGTGACGTGGGAGACATGTTCTACTTTCTAATGTGCAACTTGGAATCTTTGACAACTCACTTTCAAACGACTGAAAGACATTTACAGCTTTGTGCAGCCATTACCACAATCGAATTCTGGAATATTCCATCACCCCCAGAGAGTAACCTCATACTCAGTGCAGTCACTCCCCAGTCTCACCCAATGGATCCAGCTTCTGTCTGTACCTATGTGCCTTGTATTGAGTATTCCATGTAAACAGAATCACACAACTCGCCTTCTCTTGTGTTTGGCTTCTTTCACTTAGCACATCTATGTTTCTGAGGTCGAGCCATGCAGCGTGGATTAGTATTTGCTTCCTTTTAAGCGGAGAAGGAGGGGAAGACATTCCATGTATGGAATGCACTTTGTTCATCTAGCCACAAGGTGATGGCTATTTGGTTTGTTTTCACTTTGGAAAGTATAAACAGCATTACTAAGAACATCTGTGTACAAGTGGTTATGTTTTCTATCAGACACCTAGGAGTGGAAGTATTCCCCGTGTTAGGAAGCTGCTATTTTACATTCATTCCCACCAGCAGTGCATGAGGGTTCCAATTTCACCACACCCTCACCAACATGTTGTTGTGTGTCTTTTCAATGACAGCCATTCTTAAGAGTTTCTTGTTGTGCCTGACCCAAGCCATGGAAAGTTGACCAAGCATGCGAAAGTTGGACAGTGAATAAGGGAGATAGCAGAAGAATTGATGCATTTTGAGTTCTAGAGTTGGAAAAGAATATTGTAAGTACCATGGGCTGCCAAAAGAACCAACAGATCTGTGTTGGAAGAAGTGCAGCCAGAGTGCTCCTTGGAAGCCAGGATTACTTTGGACATATTGTCAGGAGGGACCAGTCCCTGGAGAAGGATGTCATGTTTGATACAGTAGAGGGTCAGAGAAAAAGAGGAAGACCCCCAGTGAGACGGACTGGCACAGTGGCAGCAGCAATGGGCTTAGACATATCAACAATTGTGAGGTTGGCCCAGGACCGGGCAGTGTTTCCTTCTGTGGTACACAGGGTCGCTATGAGTCCGTATGGAATTGATGGCACCTACCAACAAGAGTCTGATATCTCATTGTGGTTTTAAGTTGCCTTTCCCTACTGACTAATGATGCTGAGCACTCTTCATGGACCTACTGGCTACTCATATATCATCTTTGATGAGACGTCTATTCAAATCTTTTGCTCATTTTAAAATTGAGCTTGTTTTCACTATGCTGACTCTTCATGCCAGATCCCTGATGGCCCAGTATGTTCTCCCAATCTTCCACTTATCACTTCACTTTTTTAACAGTGTCTTTTGGAGTGCAAGAGTTTTCCATTATTATGAAGTCAAACTCAACAATTTTTGTTTCTTTTTATGTTCCATACATTTGGTGTCATAATTAAGAAACGTTTGCCTAGCTCAAGGCCCAAAGATTGTTGCGTATGGCTAAAGATTTACAGTTTGAGCTCTTTCATTGAAGTCTCTATTCTACTCTAGGTGAATTTGGGTGCCCCAGCACCATTTGTTGAAAAGACTCTCCTTTTCTCATTGATTCTGTCAAAGATCTGAGCATAATGGGTGTACTGACCAACTACATTTGGCTTCACTGCTCTGTGTCTTCGTTGTTGTTAAGTGCCATCGAGTCGGTTCCGATACATTGCGACCCTGTACAGGGTTTCCAAGGAGTGGCTGATGAGCTTGAACTGCCAACCTTGAGGTTGAAACCAATTTTGCAGTCCAGCGCATTAACACCAGGACTCCCTATATGTCTTAAACGGGTGTTTATTTACAGACTCTATGCTCTCTCTTATTGCTCTATATGTCTTGGACAGATGTTTACTTGATTCAAAACTTGGACTGTGAGTTTTTCACCAGAGAAGGGTTTGAAATCTTACGGTGCTGCTGGTCATTAAAGCCTTCTTCAGTGAAATACAATCATCTTCAGCATGTCTATACAACTTTGCGATAATATTTTCCTTGGAAGGTTGATTTCTAGAGTTGATAAAAGAGTTGGAGCTGTAAGAGGATTAGGAGAAAAACAGGAATAAGGTTAGGTTCTTGAACTTCCTGTTTTCTTAATGAAAAAAAAAAAAAAAAAAAAACCAGTACCTTTTCCAATGACTATGGGCCTGCTTTCTTTGAGAATGGCTCTTTTTTCCTGGAGGTGTAGTGCACTTGTGCGGGGTGAGCTGCCACTTGGTCTGTGTTGATCCATACCAGAGATGGCCTAGGTGCAGTTCTCATTGGGGCACTTAGCTACCCACGCTCACTAACTCGGGGTGGCCATCTCACCGCTCACTGCTAAGACCTCAGCGGTGGTGGAAGTTCAGAGCCATCCTCCTCCCAGATGGGCAGCACACTGGGAACTGAGTATAGACATTTCCAGCTGTACACCTGGGAGGATGACCACCCTTGCCCAGAGACAATGGCAGAACCACCCATGGGCTCAGATGCTCTTTCATCACCTCTGGCTTTCATCTCTGGGACTCAAGCTCACTTTGTGCTCTTCGAGACCTTTGATCACTCACTCTGGAGAGCCAAAGCGACGTTAACAGAAGTCTGATCAGAATGGAGGAGGGGAGCCTTTGTATCCCACAATGAAATACCCCTTTGTCAATGCTCAGAAAGACAGCTCACATTGTCTATTAAAAATGGGATGAGAGTGAATCCGCTTACTTGCTGATTTGGGGGGCTTTTAGGACTATATCCATGCAGTCACATGAGATTTTTACAGCTGTGCAAAGCACTAAGCACACCCATTCATCACCACTTTTGAGCAGCATACAAATTAGTCCACTGAATTGCACTTTCCTCTCCTAGTCCTTGGTACCTGTCCTTCTAAAAGCCACTGACACTAACATGGGAATGTTCTGTCAGGGAGTCTCCACCACAGTTTCCCTGGATTTGGAACTAGGTGAGTCTTGGTCCTGTGTGCTGTCAGAGATTAAGCAGCATCCCCAGCTTCCTCTGGTGGTGGAGTGGTACTCACTCTGAGGCTAAACAAAAAGATGGTGGTTCAAATCCACCCAGCTGCGCAGTGGACAAAAAGACCTAGCAGTCTGCTCATGAAAAGACTGCTATTGTTAGGTTTGGTTCCCACTCGCAGCACCCCTATTTACAACAAAACAAAACCTGCTCCATCCTCCCTCAAAAAAATTCCTTTGTTTGATACCATTGTTGCTGTCACTGTGTGGATCCATCTCATTGAGGGTCTTCCTCTTTTCCACTGACCCTCCACTTTACCAAGCATGATGCTCTTCTTCTGGGACTGGCTCCTCCAAACAGTATATATCCAAAGTGCATGCGATGAAGTCTCAACACTCTCACTTCTAAAGAACATGCTGGCTGTACTTCTTCCAACACACACATTCAACATTCACTCTTCTGGTAGTCCGTGTTATAGTTTATATTCTTCCCTAACACCAAATTCAAAGGCATCACTTTTCGATCTTCTTTATTCATTGTCCAGATTAAATATGCTTAAGAAGCAATTGAAACCATGGCTTGAATCAGACACACCTTAGTCTTCAAAGTGACATCTTTGCTCTTTGCTTTTTAACACTTTACAGACGTTATGATGATATTTATTGGTCCAGATGTGAGGTTTTGCTTTTTTTGTTTTTAATGTTGAAGTGTGATCCACACTGAAGTCTGTAGTCTTAGATCTTCATCAGTAAGAGCTGAAAGTTCTTTTCACTTTCAGTAAACAAGCTTGTATGATCTGCATATTGCAGGTTGTTAATGCACCTTCCTCCAATCCTGATAATGTGTACTTCTTCATAGAGTCCAACTTCCCAGATTATAACTTAGCATAGATTGATTTAGGATGGTTAAAAGATACCACCCTGATACACACCTTGCCTGACTTTAAACCACACAGTATCTCCTTGATCTGTTCATACAACTCTCTTCTGGTTTACATACAGGTTTTGCAAAGCAAATAAAGTGCTCTGGAATTCCCATTCTTCTCAATGCTATCCATAATTTGTTATGATCCACGAAACAGAATGCCTTTGAATAATTAATAAAACACAGATAAAAACCTTTCTGGTATTCACTGCTTTCAGTTAAGCTCCATCTTACATCACCAGGGATATTCCTCATTCCACATCCTCTTCTGAATTCAGTTTGGATTTCTGGCAGCTCCCTTTCAATGTACTGTTGAAACTAATTTAGAATGATCCTCTGCAAAATTTTACTTGCATGTGTTATTAATGATATTGTTTAATCATCTCTGCATTCTGTTGGACCTTTTTTTTTTTTTGGAATGGGCACAAATATGAACCAGGCATTTGTTGGCCAGTGACTTGTCTTCCAAATTTCTTGGCAAACCCCAGCACTGCATCAGTTTGTTGGAAGATTTCAACTGATCCTCGTCAATTTCGGAAGCCTTGTTTTTTGTCAATGGACGCAGTGCACCTTGGACTTCTTCCTTCAGTACCATAGGTTTTGGATCTTATGCTATCTCCTGAAATGGCTGACGGTGAACAAATTTTTTGTGTGAAAAACTTGACTGTGTGCCCTTCCATTTTCTTCAGATTCTTCTTGCATCATTCAATACCTATTTGCTGCGTACTGTCAAGTTGGTTCCCACACAGAGAGCTTACACACAATAGAATGAAACACTGACTGGTCCTATGTCATTCTGGCAATTGTTATGTTTGAACCCACTGTTCCTGTCACTGTGTTAATCCAGCTCATTGAGGGCGTTCCTCTTTTTCAATAACCTTCCATTTTACCAAGCAAGATGTCCTTTTCCAGGAACCGGTCCCTCCTGACATGTCTAAATTATGAGAGATGAAGCCTCACTGTTATCACTTCTACTGAACATTCTGACTGCACTTCTTCCAAAACATCTTATGTGTTCTTCTGGAAGTCCATGGTATTTTTAATATTCTTCTACACCACCATAATTCAACAGCATCAATTTCTTCTATGGTCTTCCTTATTCACTGTCTAACTTTTACATGCATATCAGACAAAATATCAGGACATGGGTCAGGTGTACCCTAGTCCTCAAACTGACAGATTTACTCTTAAACACTTTAAAGATGTCCTTTTGCAGCGGATTTTCTTAATGCAATATGTCATTTGATTTCTTGACTGCTGCTTCCATGAGAGTTGATTGTGGATTCAAACAAAATGAAGTCTTTGACAACTTGTTTTTTCAACATTTGTCATAATTTTACTTATTGGTCCATTTATGAATATTTATGTTTACTTTACATCGATGTGCAGTCCATACTGACGACTACAATCTTTGGTGTTCATCAGTGTTTTAAGTCCTGTTGGCTTTGCAAGCAAGACCATCTCATCTGCATATCGCAGGTTGTTAATGACTCTTCCTCCAATCCCGATGCCATGTTCTTCTTCAGATAATCCAGTTTCTAGGATTATTTCCTCAGCATACAGATTAAGTATGGTGAAAGGATACAATCTTGACGCACATCTTTTCTGACTCTAACCCATTCAGTATTCCTTTGTTCTGTTCGAATAACTACCTCTTGGTCTAGCACAGGTCCCTCATGAGCACAATTAAGTCTTCTGGAACACCCATTCTTTGTAATGTTATCCAAAGTTTGTTATGATCAACACAACAGAATGCCTTTGTACAGTCAATAAAACACAAGTAAACATCTTTCTGGTATTCACTGCTTTCAGTTAAAGATCCATCTGATATCACCAGTGATATACTTCATTCCACATCTTCTGAATCCAGTTCGATTTAGCTCCCTTTCAATGTATATTGAAATTAACTTCTGCAAAATTTTACTTGCATGTGATATTAATGATATTGTTAGATGATTTCCGCATTCTGTTGGGTGATCTCTTTATAGACTAGACAGAAATATAGATCTCTTCCAACCAGTTGGCCACGTAGCTGTCTTCCAAATTTCTTGGCATAGATGAATGAGCGTCTTCAATGCTGCATCAGTTTGTTGGAAGGTTTCAGTGTCTTCAGTACAGTTTGGACTGTTTCCTTCAGTACCATGAAATTTTGATCATCTACAACCTCTTGAAATGGTTGAGCATTGAACATTTATTTTTGGTACTGTGGCTCTGTGTCTGCCTCCCATCTTCTTTTGATCCTGCAACATTCAATATTTTGCCCATAGAATCTTCCATATATTATAACACTTACTTGCTTTTGTCTTCTCGAGCTGCCCTTTGAAGTTTTCTGTTCAGCTCTTTTACGTCTCCATTTCTCCCATTTGCTTTAACACATTTATATTGGAGAATAAGTTTTAGAGTCTCTTCTGACATCCATTTTTTTTTTCTTTTCTTTCTTTCTTGTCTTTTTAACGACCTTTTGATTTCATCCTATATGATGTTCTTGATGTCATCCCACAACTCTTCCGATCTTTGGTGATTAGTATCGAATGCATCAAATCTGTTGTTGAGATGGTCTCTAAATTCAGATGCGATACATTTAAGGTCATATTTTGGCTCTTGTGGACTTTTCTTAACTTTTCTTCAGTTTCAGCCTGAACTGAACATATGAGCAATTCATGTTCTGATCCATAGTCTGCCCTTGGCCTTGTTTGGGCTGGTGATATGGAGCTTCTCCCCCTCTATTCTCACAGATGTTGTGGTCAATTCGATTCCTGTGTGTTTTATCTGGTGAAGTCCATGTGTATTGTCACATGCTTTTTTATGTTGGTTAAAAAAGATATTTGCAACACCTAAGTCATTTTATCCATTGCAGTTGTTGTTGTGAAGTGCCATCAAGTTATTTCTGACTCATAGTGACCCTATGCACAACACAATGAAACAACGTCCAGTCCTGCATCATATTCACAAGTGTTGTTACGTTTGAGCCCATTGCTGCTGCCATTATACCAATCCATCTCGTTGGGGCTCTTCCTCTTTTTCACTGGCTCTCCATTTTACCAAGCATAATCTCCTTCTACAGGAACTGGTCCCTCGATAACATGTCCAAAGCATGAGAGACAATGTCTCTCCAGTCTGGCTTCTAAGAGTATTCTGGTTGTCCTTCTTCTAACACACATTAGCATGTTCTTCTGGCAGTCCATGGTACTTTCAATATTCTTCTCCAACACCCACAGAATTATCAATATTACAAGTCAAGTCTTAAATGTTTTTCCTCAGTTCTTTCAGTGTGAGAAATGCCGAGTGTGTTCTTCCCTTTTGGTTTTCCAACTCCAGGACTTTACACATTTTATTTCATTGCAATATTTTAATCTTCCGAGCAACCCTTTATACACTTTTGTTAAAGCTCTTTAAGGCTATCATTTCTTCCAGTCCCTTTAGCTGTTCTACATTTAAGAGGCTGTCTCAGAGTCTTTTCTCACAAGCATTTTGGTTTTCTCTTTCTTTCCTTTCTTTTTTAATGAACCTTTGGTTTCTTCATATATGATGTTCTGGATTTTGTACCACAACATTCATCTGGTTTTGTCATTAGTGTTTGCCAAATCAGTTCTTGAGATGGTCTTATATTCAGGTGGAACATGCTCAAAGTCATACTTTGGCTCTTATGGGCTTATTTTTATTTTCTTCAGCTTCACCTTACATTGCACATAAGCAATTGATGGTCTTTCCACACTCCTCCCCTGGCCTTGTTCTGAAAGATGATATGAAACTTCTCCATCATCTTTCCACAGATGTTGTCAATTTGATTCCTGTGAATTTCAGCCAATGAAGTCCACGTTTATAGTTGCCATATATGTTGCTGACAGTGTTTCTCTGCTATTCTTAAGAAACGTGTGCAAAAAGGTTGTGTTCTTTCACCATACTTATTCAACCTGTATGCTGAGCAAATAATACGAGAAGCTGGGTTCGATGAAGAAAAACGTGGCGTAAGGATTGGAGGAAGACTCATTAACAACCAGCGATATGCAGATGATACAACCTTGCTTGCTGAAAGTGAAAAAGACTTAAAATACTTACTGATGTTGATCAAAGACCACAACCTTTGGTATGGATTGCACCTCAACGTAAAGAAAACAAAAATCCTCACCACTAGACCAATAAACAACATTCTTATCAA